CCTAACCCCCCACACACAAGCCACACACACAAGCCCCTGCCATCCTCCCCCCGCCTTCCCAGGTGAACCGCTTCTACTGCGGCAAGGCGACCGAGTTCGCCGCCCTCCTCCGCGCCATCGCCCCCTTTCTGTCGACCCAGACGGCGCCGCGCGCGGCGGCGGCGGCGGGTGCGCAGCTCGCCCCCGAGGGGTGTGGTCCGTCGTGTGGTCCGTCGGCCTCAGCTGCGGAGGCGGCGCGCAGAGAGTCGGAGGCGGACCTGTCCGAGGGGGTACCGCTCCTCTCGATCATGCGGCAGCTCGAGCGAGAGTCGAGCGAGGCGAGCGAGACGGCTCCGCTGCCGCTCCGGCTCGAGGAGTTCAGGCCGGAGGAGCCGAGCCCTGCGCACGGTGCAGAGGGGGCGGGCAGAGGGGGCGGGGGCGGAGGCGGGAGAGGCTTCCCGGCGCCGGCTGCGGCGAGCTCCGCCGCCACGCGCGGGTACGACGGCTCTGCGCTGCTGCAGTTCATGGACCTCTGCTCCGAGGTCGACCTGCTGCGCAAGTTCGCGCTGCTCAACTACCTCGCCGTCACGAAGGTCGTCAAGAAGCACGACAAGGTGTCGCCGCTCCGCCTCTCGACGGCCTTCACCGAGTTTGCGTCGCAGCAGCCCTTTTGCACCTCCAACCGGCTGATCGACACCTTCCTGCAGTGCCAAGCCATCGTCGCCGACTTTGTCACCCTCGACACGTCGGATGCCTGCCTGCGCCCCACTGCGTACCGCTGCTCGCTGTGCGACCGCCAGCTGGCGATGGGCATCGTCATGGCGGGCTCGCAGCGCCACTGCCACCACTGCCTCGCGCGGATCGCCGAGGCGGCCATCAGCGACGACGCGGCCGACGCGTCGCTCGAGCCGCGCAACGTGAGCGTCGACCCGCTCCTCGACCCCGCCGCCACCGCAGCGCTCGCCAACGCGGTCGCGCTCGCGCCGCTCGACGGGAACGCCATGCGCGCCATCGCCACCAACCACCCCCTCCTCAGCTCCACCCCGTCCAGCGGGTGGGGCGGCGGCGCGGCTGCCGGCGGCGCGGCTGCCGGCGGCGGCGCGGCGACCGGCGGCTGCGGCGGCATCGGGCGGGCTGCTGCGCCTTCGGACAAGGTGGAAGGGGAGGGCGGCTGGAGCGGCGCCCACGCTGGATTTGGCGCCGCGCCGCCGGGTGCGACAGACGGCGGCGGCGGCTGGTTCAGGGCTGGCGCGGCGGGCGGTGCGGTGTGCGGGATGGGAGGCGGCGAAGTGTTCGCCTGCCCCCGCGCCACCGCCTTGCCAGTGCACCCTGCGGAGGTGCCGCGTGGCGCGCCGTTTGTTGCGCTGCCGGGCGCGCCGGGGGGGGCGGAGGGCGGTGTCGGGATGAGGCCGCAGGGGGCGGTGGAGGAGGCCAGCTACGCCGCCGGAGAGGGCAGCTTGCAGCCCGCAACTGCGGTGTGCCCGCAGATGGGTCTGCCGATGGCGGTTGCTCCGTCGATGGGGGCGGCGACCGCGCCGGCAGCGTACCCGGGCGCGCGCGCCGCGATGGGCGACCCGCGGATGGGAGGGGTGCAGCAGCAGGCGGCGCGCGCTGCTGCCGCGTCTCGTGCTGGTGCGGAGAGAGTACGGGAGTGGTTGCTGGAGTAGGCGCTCTTCCGGCCGATGGCGGTGGGGATGCAGTGGCCGGTGGGGATGGAGGTGCGCGGCGGGTAGAGGCTAGGAGAGGGGGGGAGCTCACGGCAGCCGCAGCCTGCCGAGGCGCGCGCCTGACGGCACACGGCAGCTGCGCCTGACGGCACACGGCAGCCGCGCCTCGCGCCTCAGGCGATGGGTGGTGAACCTTCCTAGAACCTTCCTAGAACCCTCCTGCCGCGCCTCGCGCCTCAGGCGATGGGACTCCTGCCGGACCGGCAGCCCGCCGAGGAGTCGGCGGGCAGGAAGGCGAAGAAGTGGGCGTGCATGGAGTGCCACAAGGCGCGCGCGGCGCTCGCACAGGCCGCACGCCGCCGGAGCTTTACCCCCTCCGGCCCATCCTCCCACAGGCAAAGGCGGCTTGCGAGGGCGATCCCTGCCGCCGCTGCGTGCGGCTCGGCAAAAAGTGCGTGCCGCAGGAGCGGCCGCCGCCCGGGAAGCGACGGCGAAACAATCGAGGCGCGCCCACAGGCCCAGTTGTCGTCGTTCAGCCGCGGGACAGATTCGCGCAGGCACCGGGACCGGTTCCGGTGTTGGCAGGGCCGCCGATGGTTGGGCTGCCGATCGGGGCGGTCCCCGGTGTTGGCAAGCCTGTTGGGTATTCTGCGCCGGCCTGAGGGTCTCACAAGTCATGTATGCATCATCCATCATGTGCATGTGTATGTTGATTGCTGTGCAGGTATAAAGTCTCTTCTCTCTCTGAAACATTGTGTATTGATGTTATCACAGCTCAGTGTCAGAGAGCACAGTTCATGCGAACCGGGTTTTGTGTTGTACCGCTGCGCGCGTATGTGTATGTGTGTAGTCCGTGTGTGTGCGGTGTGTGGCTGTGGGACGGGCAGCGCGCACACGATCACGAACATCGGCTCAGTAGCGGGGCGAGGGGACCCCCCCCCCGACTCAGGCTGTGTGGCAGTACCACCCTGGTAAGTGACATATCCGCCCCCACAGCTCTCTTCAGTACTGTAGCTCACTCCGCCGCGGCCGACCCAGCGCGCGAGCTCATCCTCACGAGCCACCGAGAGCGGCGGCCAGCCGGTGCACCTCCTGGGCATGCGCCTCGAGCAGCTCGCGTAGCTCGCCACCGCCGCCGCCTCCGTGAGGCGCTCCGCTCGCGCTACTCCGCACCGCCGCGAGCCCCGCGGTCAGCATCTGCAGTCCGCGCTCCGACTCGGCGTCGAGCCGCGGCCGCTTGGGCGGGTGGGCGCACTCGGGCCGGTCCGCGCCTCGCTGGGCGCCGCCGAGCAGCGGCTGCAGCGGAGGCCGGCCGAGTCCGGGGGGCGGCGACGAGGCAGCGGCGGCGGCGGCGGCGGCGGCTGCGGCGGAAGCGGCGGCGGAAGCAGAGGCCAACGTCGCCGAAGCGAGCCGCCCCTCATGCGCGAGCCAGGTGGCGGAGTGCATGTCGGGCGGCGACTCGACCGAGAGGGTGGCAAAGGTCTCGAGGGGTCCGTCAAAGCCGCGCGTCTTGAGGGTGGACACAAAGGCGCTCTGGTGCTCGTCTGGCGCCACACAGATGAACTCAAACGCCACGCGCGCCGCGGTGTCGACCGCCCAGTCGGCGCCGCCGTCGAGCAACGCCTGCTGCATGAGGCGCACGGTCGCCTCGCCCAAATGCTCCCACGCCGCGGGCGAGAGCGACGGCCTCAAAGGGAGCATCGCCAGGATGAGCACGGCGGTGCCGAGGCCGCGCGCATCTTGCCCTGGCGGCGAGGCAGCCGCCGCGTGTGCGAGAGGCTCCAATGCCTCGGCCGGAAGCTTGGCGACAGCCACCGCCGCCGCCTCCGCCGCTGCCGAGACGCGCCGCGTGGACAGCGCCCGCAAGGCGGCGTGCGCCAGCGATGCGGCGGGATCCGGCGCCCCCGCGTGAGTGGGTGCCCACCTCGGGTCGGGCCGGTGAGTGGCTGGCCGCTCCGCATCGCACGGGAGGAGCGCGAGCAGGCCAGCCGCGCCGAGCAGCAGAGAGCGAGTCGCGCCGGCGTCGCTGGCGACGCACGAGGCGTCGGCGAGGCGACAGCACCACGCCCGTCCGCCCGCCCGCTCGAGTGCGGACGAGAGCGCGCCAGCGGCAGGGGCGCCGGCCTCGCCGGCAACCTCGGGCAGCGCTGCGAGGAGGAGGAGGAGGCTGCCCAAGTTGGGCTCGCTCGGGTCGGCGGCCCCTCCGCTCGCAGCCAGCCGAGAGAGGGGCGCCCCGAAGGAGGCCAGCAGCTGGAGCAGCGCCTCGGGCGGCAGGTGCGGCAGGGAGGCCGCGACGAGCTTGGCGAGCGACGCTTGCAGGCCGGAGGCACGCGCGGCGCCGAGAGAGACGCTCGCCCGCCACAGGGAGTGGCAAGTGGCGGCGGCGGCGGCGGCGTCCAAGACGGAGAGCCGCGCGGCGAGTGCGTCCAGCGCCACCTGCGCGACCGGGGGCTGGAGGCAGGGTGGGCGGCGGGAGGAGGCGGCGGGAGGAGGGCGGGGGGCGAGGGAGAGAGACCTGTCTGATCATCGGGTGCGCGGCGCAAGCGCCGTCCACGAGCGACATCACCAGCCTCGCGTGCACCCGAGGCGGCGCCCTCGACGCGTACCCAGCCGCGACAGTGGCGAGGAGAGAGAGGGCAGACGGCATCGTCTCGTACGCGGCGCCGCCCGGCCCGCCCCCGCCGGCGTCCTCGTCGTCGGTGGGCGCGGCGGGGGCGATGAGCGCGCCGTAGCAGCGCGGCAGCAGCTGCAGCAAAGCGGGCAGCACCGCCGAGGCCGCAACCTCGTGCGCCGCCGCAGCGACCGAGGGCGTCGTCGCCTAGGGGCAAGTGGGGGCCGGCAAATGAGAGCCGCCATCGCGCCTTTGCCGGGGGGAGTGGCCACCGTAGGATGACCGTGGGATGGCCCTCTCCCCCGTCCGGCCGCCGCCGTCTCTAGCCTCCTCACCGTTGCGCGCAAGGAGAGAGCCAGCAGCCACGCGGCCTCGTCCGGCCGCAAGCGCCCTCCCGCCGCCCACTCCTCCGCCCCGCCCTCCGCCCCACCCTCTTGCGGGACAGCGGCGTAGGCCGGTGTCGCGGCCGCGGCGAGGCGGACCCAGCCGCGCAGCAGCAGCTCTCCCGCGTCGCCCTCGCCCGGGAGATGCGCCTGATGAGCTCACCACTCACCACTCACTCCTTAGCCCTCGCCGGGAGCTGCGGGGCGAGCGGCCACAACCTTGCCCGGCGGAGCGCCGCCGAGGAGCGCCCCGAGGCTCGCGTCGAGCTTGCCGAGCAGCCTCGCTGCGAGGGTCTCCTCGGGCCGCGACTCGCCTAACGGCCGCCGCCACACCGCCGTCACCCGAGGGAGGCGCAGCCTCGCGACGCCGCCCGCCGCGGCCCGCACCCGCAGAGCGGTGGGCGTGAAGGGACGCCGCGAGCAGCAGCCTGCCCGAGCGGGCGAGGAAGCGGGCGAGCAGCGCCGCCGCCGCCTCGCCGCCCCACCGCGCGAGAGGCTCGCGCTGGCTGGCCAGGATGGCCTTCAGCTGGATGAGGCCAAAGAGAGCCATCTTCTCCTCCGCCTCCGCCGCCTCGCCGCCGAGCCCAACTGCCGCGTCTGCCCGCTCCGCCGCCGCCGCGTGGGCCACGACTCGCTGCAGGAGGGGCAGGAGCCGCACCTATGGGGGCCATGCCAAGGATTGGCCACGGACGCGTCACGGACACGCACCGGACGTGTCCGCAGGAGGAGCGTTAGCCGCGCCGTCGACTGGGAGAGGAGGCGCGAGCGCAGCGTCGAGAGGGAGGCCGCGTCGCCACGCACGTCCCCAGCGTCCGCTGGCGCGCCCGCCCGCCCCAGCGCGGTCGCCGCCCGCACCAGCAGCTTCCAGAGCCAGTTCTTCAGCTTGAATGCTGGGCTCGGCCGGGCCGCCTCGGCCTCGCACGCGCAGAGCAGCGCGTCGCTCAGCTCGCCGAGACACGGCACCCAGCCGCGCCCCGCCAGCTCGCCGCCCCCCGCCATCTGCGCGCCGAGCAGCTCGTGCGCCGCCTTGAGCAGCTCGACCAGGCCACCCACGAGAGGCTCTTCCGCCTCTCCCGGCGGCGCGGCGCCCAGAGAGCCAGCATCCCACCGCGCGCCGGGGGCCGCCGCGAGAGCGAGCGGCACGGCGACGCCGCGCAGCAGCGCAGAGAGAAGCGGCGGGCTCACGTCCAGCAAGCCGCCCGCGAGCCGCGCCGCGCCGAACAGGCACGCACGGAGGGCCTCCAGCGCCACCGCGGCGCTCTCGTCTGTGGAGGGCGGAGCCGGCGTAGTGCGCGTGCAAGCCGGGCGAATGCCGCGATCGACGACCAAGCCGATCAGCTCGGGCCCGACCCGCCCTGCCGCGTCCCGCTCCGCGATTCGGACGACGCAGCGCAGCGCTTCCGCCACAGCGCTCTGCCCGCCGGCGCTCTCGGGCGCGCTGGAAAGAGCCGCCGTTGCCGCGAGGATGGCGGTGTCGAGGGGAGGCGCGCCGTCCGGCCGCGCGAGCTCCTCCGTGAGGGAGTGCAGGTCGAGCTCGTGCGGCATTTGACAAGACATTGGTCGTCGGTTGGTGGGTGCAGCAGAGGCGGGAAAATATTTTTTTGAAGTTCCGGCTGTTTGTGTCTGCTCGAAGGGTGTGGCTCCGCAGCGCGGCTGGCACTCGTCGCAGAGGCCTCACCTTCACAAAGTCGGGCATGGCTCTCGCCGCAACTTTCTCGCTAACACGCGCGCACCGCCGAGCCTGGGGCGGGCGCGCTGCGGCCGCACGTCTAACTAACTTCGTCATAGTGCCACGACGTGCGGCCTAGATTTAGCCCACGCGCTTCTGCTCGCATACACTCATACATTGGATTGTCATCACCCGTGAGTGCGAGATAGGGCTAGCTAGCAGTAGGCAGCTAGCCTCTCTCTGAGGAGGGCGTCCATAGACACCTCACAAGACCCCACACACGGTCTCGTCCGTGCCTCGCCGGGCGGCGAGATTGCTAGAGGCGGAGCGGTCTGCTCTAGCCTCGCAGGTCACTTCCTGTCGTCTGTTGTTTGTTGTGCCCTTTGTAGCTTGTTTGTTCTCTTGGCACCTTGGATGGAGTGCTGGGGGGGGCGACAGGAAGAATGTGGCCCTGAGTTATGTGTACGCCTACTCAGGGTGTGTGGCAGCCAGCTGGCTGTGTGTCTTGTGAGCCTGTTTGTGTCTGTGTGTCGCTCGTGCGTGTCGTCATCATCTGTCTAGCGTCCACCCATACCGCGTTGGTGTCCAGTCCGAGCCTGGCTGTTCTTCACCTTTCTACCTACCTACTGGCTCAAGGTTGGCTGCGTGCTCCTCTCGGATGTCGACGTCGTCTACTTGCGAGACCCGTTCCAGTCGTCGCCGCCGCTGCTGCACCGTGACTCAGACGTCGAGGCGACACGTCCTAGACACCTCCTAGACACCTCCTAGACACCTCCTAGACACGGGACTGGACCCTCGCGCACTTGCCACTTCGCACTACAGTAACACAGGTACACCAACGGAGAAAGAAAATCCGGCACACGCCTTCGGATAAGCGTCCGGTCCCCGCTCCCGTTGATGAGTCCCTGATCGTCCTTCCAACCAAGATCCTGCTGGAACCTGCTCGTTCGTTCGCGCAGCTGGGGGGGCCTGTCCTTCTCCCACCCCTCGTGTCGAGATTTTTATTTATGTTATATCTCTCTCTCTTCAGTTGGTTGCCTTCTCACCCTTTCTGGACCTCAATAAAGTCCCCAAAACTTGAGTGGGGGCCGAGCTGAGAAGAAGACGTTAAGAACAAAAAAAAACAAAATACAACCCTGTTTGAGTTCAATCGTGAGCCGCCCTGCCTTGTGCCGATTTGCCCCCCGAGACGCTGGCTCGAGCACTTCAGATTAACGCTTTGGTAGCGTGCCGACAACGTGACCAAAAAATGCGCCTCTTCGTCCTCGCCGCGGCTCTGGCCCTGCCCACTGTCCGTGCCACATGCTCAAACATGATGCAGGACGGGAACGAGACGGGCGTCGATTGCCCGACCAAGGCGTGCAACGCACCCACACCACCGCCAATAAACTCTCCAAGACCGCCGCCTCTCTCTGGCGAACAGGAGGTGTACGAGGAGCTCCTGGGCGAGACTCTACTGATTTACACGGGAGCCGCACTTGACGAGGAGCCATGTATGACGAGCGAGCAATTTGAGAATCTGATCGATGACTTGGCCCTGACCGACCTCTTTCCCAACGACACCTTCGAAGAGGCCGACGCCGACAGCGGCGAGTGCGTGAACGTCACAGAGGCCGTGGCCTGGGTCAAAGGGCTTGACAAGGCGCCTCTTAAAACACGCACCAGAACACACATACACACACACACACAGTCAGAGAGAGAGAGAGAGCCACACATCACACACACACACACACACACACACACACACACACACACACACACACACACACACACACACACACACACACACACACACACGCACACACACACACACGCACACACGCACGCACGCACGCACGCACGCACGCACGCACGCACGCACGCACGCACGCACGCACGCACGCACGACGCACGACGCACGCACGCACGCACGCACACACAACGCACGCACGCACGCACGCACGCACACACGCACACTCAAGGCACTCTCTCCTATACATTAGTCGTCCCGCGATGAGCTCATCGACGCGTTCCTCAACAAGCCGGAGCCCGACACCCTCGATCAGCTCACCGACGTCCCTCGCTCGCAAGAAAGAGGGTACTTTCCAACCCTCACAGCTTCTCTGACCCTGTCCTCAGCGTGTGTACAGGTCCCCGAGGCTATCGCAAAGGCGACGAACGTCGTGCGCCTCGTCCTCCACACTCGGCGAAAGTCCACAACCATCTATCCGGGCAAGCGCGACAAGCTCCTCGAGGCCGTCGCGAACCTCGTCTCGGTCTCGCTCGAGGCGATCCGCATGACCATCTTCCCCGCACAGAGTTCCAATCCCGACGCTTCCGGCGGCGACGCTCGCCGCCGCCTCGAGAGCGGCGGCAGCGTGTTGACCTTTGATATCTTTGCCTCTTCGTCCGGCGATGCCGCCCAGTACACCAAAAGTCTCAACGAGGGGCTTTCCTCGCCGTCGGTTGCTTCGGCGACGCTCGGTGCGAGCCGCCGACCACCGCGCCCGTCGCAGCCACGCCCTCGGCCCTCGATCGACACGCCCCCTTCTGGCCCCGTGTTGAGCCCGTGGCGATACGGCATTTGGCGATGACGGTGTCGCGTCCGCGTTTCCAGGCCTCGAGATCGCCGAGGTGAAGGAGATCTCGGAGAGGCCCGTGGCGGGCAACGCGCCCATCCCGTTCGCCGAGGCTGCCGTCGCGGCCGTGGCGCTGGCTCTGGGCCTCGCCGTCATCGTCGCAGCCAAGCTTCTCGCCGACAGGCGGCGCGCGGCGCGCGGCGAGTCGTACCGCGGCTGCATGGCCTCTGGCTGCTGCTCCTTCCACGCCATGGCGGCGTGGTCGAGCGGCGCGCTGCTGGCGGCCGCATTCTTGCTCGGCGCGATGCTCGCCATCTACTTCCGCATCGACCCGCTCGTGCAGGCGCGGGGGACGGCACTCCTCGAGCTAAAAGCCGCTGTCAGCAATATACACCTCCTCCCGGCGCATCTCAGGACATCGACAGCATCCTCGACGCGATCGTCAACCTGGCCAACTCGACGGACCAAGCCGAATCGGCGCTCGAGTCGGTGCCGACCGACGTCGTGGACCAGCTGAAGCCGTACACAAGGTGGTTCACGCTCGCCGTGCTCCTCCCTGCCGCCCTCCTCCTCGCCGTCCTGCTCCTCGCCGGCGGCTGCGGCCTGCGCAACGCCAGGGTGTGCCTTGCACCGCCGCGCCCGCGCCGTCGAGCGCTGTGAGCAGCGCCTCTGCACTCCCCTCCGCCTCTGCTTGCTGTGGGCAGGTGTACCGCGGCACCTGCTGCGCCAAGTGCTGGGTGGTCCTCGGCTACCTGCTCGCCCTCCTCGCGCTGGTCGCCTACGCCTTCTTCCCGGCGCTCGCCGTCCTCTCGCGCACGAGCCTGGCGCAGGAGGAGCTGCGCGAGTACCTCGGCGTCTGCGAGTCGTCGCTCCCCGTGCTGGAGCAAGCCAAGAGTGACGCCGAAGCCATCCTCCAGCTGGCGGAGAATGCCGACCCGCCCATCAACGCGCAAGACCTCGCGGACCAGAAAGCCGAGTACGACCGGCAGAGTTTTGCCTTTGCAAACTTTAAGGCCCTCTGCGGCGGCGCGACGGGCCTGTTCGACGAGTTGCCGTCGCTGTTTGCGCCCGGGGCCATCGCGGTCGCCGCCGCGCTCCTCGCGATGTTTGTGCTCAATGGCGAGTGCTGCGCCGCCAACTGTTGCAGCAAGCCGACCGCCTGGTCCGAGCCAGTCAAGATGACGCCGGCAGGGTCCTCCGCGGCTGCACGAAGGATGCGCGATTCCATCTGATGCCTGCGACCGTCCGAGACGACTCTCTCGCTTCTCTCACCGCCCGTACGTTGGCTAGTACCGGGTAGCATGTTGTGGGGCGTGCATGTGAATGCGCACGTTGCAGTACTCTATCTCTGAGTGGTCTCTCTGGACTCTGCGCTCACGTTGAAGAGACTTTTACAATTTCATTACTGTTCTAGAGATAGCAATAGTAGAGTGTTTTTGTACTTATGGTGATAGATGACCATTTCAACTCGCAAAATCTCTAACTTTAATTGATCATTATCATTGGAAAGTCGCAGGGCGGGGCGCCCTGGTGCTGGTCGGGTGGTCGCCTCGGGGCGGCCCCCCCAGGGAGGTGGGTGGAGGGGGGCGGGCGGGCACCATGCCATCGTGTAGGCTGCGCGGGGGACACAGCTGCGAGCTGGGGCCAGACTATTCGGGCTCTTTCATATTATTTCGCCCCCCCCCCCCCCTCTTCCCCCCTGCCTCCTTGTCCACGTCGTCCAGAGAGAGAGAGTTTTAGCGAGAGAGAGATTTTTAGTACCAAACATTTTTGTTGTGCTTTTCAGTGTATGTAGCTCTTACGTACATTCCTGGAGGAGGAATTCTGACTGGGTTTGCGATGAGGAGCGATCCGAACGCGGCATTCGGGTGATCAGATAGATCACTACCGCCGAAACGCACAAGAGCACTGCGACATACATCGGGGTCAATTAGTACCCCCACTTGCGGGCCGATCTTATCGGACAATTCTTTTTTGTGCGCGCCAGTCCCGCTGCCCAGTGTCGTGCGAGCGCGCTTCTCAAAATTCTTTTTGTGAACCATAGGACGTATTTTCTTCTCCAATAACAAGGCTGTGAAAGGTACCCAGCTAGCTCAAAAGGTACCCTAGGCCTAGCTAGCTCAAAAGTTTCGCGGCGGGAAGGTGTAGAATGTAGAACGCGGTAGGGAGTCTGTTGAGTACTTTTATAGCTCTCTCTCTCTGTTTACGGGCGGCACGGCGCGCCAGTTCGGCGCCGACAGCGGCCTGCACGGGGTGCTGGTCCGGTTCCGGTAACTTCACCTGCACTCCATCGCTGACTCGCGAGTCGCAAGCAAAAATGGACGAGTTCTCGTCCCCTTACATCCAATTCGAGGGTGGCGCAAAGCCGCGGCCGGCCGGCCTCAGCTCCGGCGGCACCGCACCGCGGGTCAGCGCCAGCGCACAGCCTCCGCCTCCTCCCTCGGCGACGCATGCCCGCGGCAGCCGGGAGTCGTTGGCCGACGGCGGCGCGCGGCGGCGTGGCGCGTTCGCGCGGGCGTGCAGGTGGTGCTGCGGCAAGCGCGAGCCAGAGGCACGCCACATCCGTCTCAACGCCACCCGGCCGACGCCGCGGCGGTACGCGAGGAACCTCGTGGTCAACACGAAGTACTCCTTCTTCAGCTTCGTGCCGAAGGTGCTGTACGAGCAGTTTTCGCAGTTTTTCAACCTCTACTTCCTCGTGGTCGCCCTCTCGCAGCTCTTCCCGCCTCTCCAGATCGGGCTCCTCTTCACCTACATCGCGCCGCTCGCGTTCGTGCTGGCCGTCACCATGTGCAAGGAGGGCTTCGACGACTACAAGCGGTACCGCACCGACCGCGAGATCAACACGGAGCTGTACACCCGCCTCACGCCCGGCGGAGGCGACGTCACCGTCGCCGCGCAAGACATCTCTGTCGGGCATGTGCTGCGGGTGAAGCCGAGGAGCCGTCGGGCACACTGTGCTGGGCTGGCCGGTGCGGACGTACGTCCTTCCGCCTCCCTTGCCCCCTAGGTGCGTGCCAACCAGCGCGTGCCTGCCGACCTGCTGCTGCTGCGCACCAAGGAGTCGTCCGGCATACTCTTCCTGCGCACGGACCAGCTCGACGGAGAGGAGGAGGCTGGGAGCTGCGCCTCGCGCGGGACCAGCCAGCGGAGGGAGAGCCGGTTGTGAACAGGAGAGACGGACTGGAAGCTGCGCCTCGCCGTGCCAAGCTGCCAGAAGCTTTCCTCGGACGAGGAGAGCCGCTCGAGGGCAGCGGCGGCTGGCAGACAGCAGGACGGCTCTGACTCACCGCTCTACGCTCGAGTCAGGCTCTCGCCGAGGCGAGCGGCGGCGTGTACGCGCCCGAGCCGACCGCCGACATCTACGCGTTTGAGGGCGACCCTCGCCCTGGGCCGAAACGGACCTCAGGCCAAGCTCACCTCGCCCCCGCCCCGCCAGGCGACCTCACCCTCTCCGACTCGGAGGGCGACGCCACCGAGCCGCTCTCGCTCGACAACACTCTCTGGGCGGGGACGGTCCTCGCCTCGGGCGAGGCGCTCGCGCTCGTCCTGTACACGGGCACCGACACGCGCGGCGCGATGAACTCGGCGCCGCCCCGATCCAAGGCGGGCTCGGCTCTCGCCAAGGAGTGGTGGTGGTGGTGGTGTGAGCTGTCACCGACTCAGCGCCGCTCCTAGGTCGCGTCGGTCGACCTGCAAGTCAACCTCCTCGCAAAGGCGCTCCCTCTGAAGCACGCGCCGACGAGTCAACCTCTCACCCGCCCGGCTGCTCTGCAAAGGTGCTCTTTGGTCTCACGGCGTCGACCGCGCTGGCGATGGTCGCCGTGCCCTTCATCCAGCGGGCCGCCTCCTCGCGGCTGGCGAGCGCCGAGATGTCGCAGCAGCTGCTGCAGGCGCTGGAGCGACGCGTGTGCCGGACCGAACGAGCGAGGCACGGCCGATCCTTCTCAGAGACGAGCGTCACCCGCAGGCGCTGCTCGACTTTTGCCGCTTCCTGCTCCTCTTCTCCTCCATCATCCCGATCTCCCTGCGCGTCGCGCTCGACATGGCCGAGCTCTCGCACCGCCGCAGAGGCCCCTCGCTCACGAGTCACACGGGGAGCGGCTCTGACTAGGCGAAGCTCGTCTACAAGCTGCAGATGACGTCTGACGCGCGCATGCCCGGCCTGCAGGCCCGCCCCTCCACGCCGCCGACCTGCCTGCATCTTCCGAGACACTGCCGAGACACAGCCGAGAGCAGCCGCCGGCAGGTCCGCTCCTCCACGCTGCCCGAGGAGCTCGGCGGCATCGACTTCCTCCTCACCGACAAGACGGGCACCCTCACGCGCAACGAGATGCTCTTCCGCAAGCTCCACCTCGGCTTCGCCTTCCTCTCGCCCCAGGCGAGGGGCGGCCCTCGCACCACGGATACACAACAACGCTTCGGGCGCACCTCGGGCGCACCTCGGGCGCACCTCGGGCGCACCTCGGGCGCACAAGCTCGGGCCAGGCCCGGCCTCCCGCTTGCTTCCCCACATCGCCCCTTCCCGCCGCAGACGCTCGGGGAGGCGCAGGCCGCGGTGGCGCACGCCGCCGCCGGCGAGGACGACGCGCCGCCGCCGGCGGGCGCGAGCTCGGACCTCGGGGAGGGAGGAGGCGGCGGAGGAGGCGGAGGGGGCAGCGGCGGCGGCGGAGGAGGAGGAGGCGTGCTCGCGCGGCGGCGCGAGGGGGACGCCTCTGCTGCCGTGCCGCGGTCGGAGAGCGCCTTCGCCTCGGCCGTGTACGAGGCTGCCTTCCTCTCGGGGGGTCTCGGGTGTGCTCTGGGGCGGTCCTCTCGGCTCATCTCGGCTCGGCTCGCGGTGCGTAGGCGCTGCTCGCGATCGCTCTCTGCCACAACGTGTCGCCAGTCGAGTCGGTCGGCGGGGGGCAGGCCGGCTGGCTCGAGTCGCGCCCCCGATCTCGGGCAATCTCGGGCAATCTCGGGCGATCTCGGGCGATCTCGGGTAGGCCGCCTCGCTCGAGTCGTGCTTCCAGGGCGCCTCGCCGGACGAGCTCTCGCTCGTCGTCTTCGCGGCGCGCTGCGGGCTGGTGCTGCACGAGCGGACTCCGACTCGCATCGTGGTGCGCGAGATTCCCCGAGATGACCCGAGATTCCCCGAGATTCCCCGAGGTGACCCGAGATTCCCCGATATGACCCGAGCTTACTCCGAAGTGGTGACTCGCGCGCGCGCGCCGCGCGCGCTCGCCCTCAGGTGCACGAGCCGTCGGGCCGGCTGCGCGGCTTCGAGCTGCTCGGCGAGATGCCCTTCTCGTCCGAGCTCAAGCGGATGGGAGTGCTGCTGCGCGACGAGTCGACGGGCGCCATCCAGTTCCTCGCTAAGGGGGCCGAGTCGGTGATGGCCGAGCGGGTGGCCTCTTCGGACTGGATGGAGGAGGAGGTCGGCAACCTGGCGCGGGAGGGGCTGCGCACGCTCGTCGTGGCGGCGCGCGGCCTGTCGGCTCCTCCTCTCGCCGCCGAGGAGACTACCGCGGTACGGGGGCGTGTGCACTGCGCACCTTAGGCGCGCGACCTCTCGGAGCCGCAGCTCGACGCCTTCTCGCGCGCGTACGGCGCGGCGCAGTGCGCGGGCGGGGCCGTCCGCGAGGGCTCCGTGTGAAGCTTCCTGGATCGCGTAGGCGCGGCGCAGCTCGCTCGGGCGGGGCGCGCCGAGGCGACCCGCGCGGCGTGGGAGATGCTGCAGGAGGACATGCGGCTGCTCTGCGTGACGGCCGTCGAGGACCGGCTGCAGGCGAGTCTCGGCACACCTCGGCTGATCGCTGCGACCTCTGCTGCTCCGCGTGACGGCCCGAGGGTGAGCCGCAGGCGAACGTGCGCGCGACGCTCGAGACGCTTCGCGACGCGAACGCGCGGCGTGCCGATGCGAGCCGTGCATCGGGCTCGAGGTCGCTGAGCCGAGAGGCATTCCTTCCTCAGGTGCGGACGTGGATGCTGACGGGGGACAAGCTCGAGACGGCGTGGGTCATCGCGCAGAACGCGTCGCTCGTCACGCGGCGGCAGCGCATGTACCAGGTCGCCGTCCGCTCGTCGGGCGACGAGAAGGAGAGGCGGCGCGAGGCGCGGCAGGCGCTGCAGGGTTACCCGCAGGGCAAGTTCAACGCGCCGTGCCTCGTCCTCGACGGCGCCGCCCTCTCGCTCTGCGTCTCGCACCACCAGCAGCTCTTCATGGAGGTTGCTTGCGCCGCGCCCGCCGTCATCTGCTGCCGCTGCACCCCCACCCAAAAGGCGGAGATCGTGCAGCTGATCCGGATGACGCAGCCAAAGGCGTGCACCGCCGCCATCGGCGACGGCGGCAACGACGTCGGCATGATCCAGGCGGCGCACGTCGGCATCGGCATCCAGGGGCGCGAGGGGCGGCAGGCGGCGCTCGCCGCCGACTTTTCGCTGCAGCAGTTCTCGCACCTGGGGAGGCTGGTGCTGTGGCACGGCCGCAACTGCTACATGCGCTCGGCGACGCTGTCGCAGTTTGTGATCCACCGCGGGCTGATCATCTCCGTCATCCAGGCGGTCTTCTCGTCGCTCTTTTACTTTGCGCCCGTCGCGCTGTACAACGGCGTCCTCGTCGCCGGCTACGCCACCATCTTCACGTACGGGCCCCTCTTCTCGCTCGTGCTTGACGAGGACGTCTCCGAGCCGAACGCGCTCAAGTTCCCCGAGCTGTACCGCGAGCTGCAGAAGCGGCGCCACCTCCCCAGCGAGGCCCTCCTCCTCGACCTCGGGGCCTCTCGGGTGATCTCGGGCCACCTCGGACTAGGCGCTACCTCTCGGTCAAGACCTTCCTCGTGTGGACGTGGAAGGCCGTCTACCAGGGGTGCGTCATCATGCTGGGCGGGATCGTCCTCTTCGAGCAGCGCTTCGTGCACGTGGTGGGCATCACCTTCACCGCCCTCATCCTCACCGAGCTGCTCATGGTCGCGGTCGAGGTCAAGCGCTGGCACCCGCTCATGCTGCTCGCGCAGCTGCTCACGCTCCTCGTCTACCTCGCCTGCATCGTCGCCCTCTCCTCGCCCGACTTTGCGGGCGGCACCATGGCCATCTTCGACCTGCGTTTCATGCTCTCCGTTCCCTTCGCCTTCCGCGTCACCATCCTCACCGCCGCGTCGACGCTCCCCATCTGGTGCGGGAAGGCGTGCTCGCACTACTGCTCCCCGCGCGTGGTGAGCAAGCTGTCGTGAGAAAAAAAATGTGTTGTATCCTGCGAAAGACACTACTCTCCCCCTCCCGTCGCTTGTCCCCCTTGGCGTGGCGCGCCTCTCCCCCCTGCCCTGGAATCGCGTACTGCGTACAAGCTTGAGGCTACCGCGTAGAGGCCACACACTAGCGTCGCTGGGGGTTCCCTGCCCTAAGTGGGAAGCTGGCCGCTGATCCGAAGACCGACTGCACCAGGGCTGGGGTTGCTAATATCGCGGGGCTCCTGGACGGGCGATGAAGTTCGCCTTGAATCTCTCGTCTCGCTTTCCCCCCCACTCGCGTCCGTCGGGGGACGGGGGTACTCCTTGCATCCGGCTCTCTCTTCTCCCCCCCCCCCACCCTCCTTCCTTGTCCCCACTCAAGGTTATGGGAGCGGCCATAACAGGTGTTATGGCTGTTATGGCTGGCTGCTCATAACACCCCATAACACCCCATAACACCTCATAACACCTCATAACACCTCCATCGCTGTTATGGCTGTTATGCCCACCCTACCATAACACCTCACATATAACACCTCATATAACACACCTTCATAGCACTCATAACACCTCCCACTGTGGTTGTTATGACAGCCAGCATAACAACCTCATAACAGCTGTTATGACTCGGCCACCTCACACCGTCGAGCCCGGCCCGCTCAGCAGCCTGCTCTAACTCTGCCAGCTCACGTTCGATACTGGTCGGCCCGATCCGGAAAGGAGTGCAGGGCATCAGCAACGCGGAAAGCAGCAACATCCATCCATCGATCGCGCGATGAGCAAGAGTTTTACAACAAACTCCCCCTCGCACGACACTGGCACGGGACTGGGAGCGTTAACTACTAAAAAGCGGGAGCAGCCAGCTTCCACTTTTTAGAAACCTCGAGACATGTAGTGGGAAAAGGAAAGAAAAAGGACGTGAGTTAAATTGCGGCAAAGACATACAAGTTAAAAATGGAGGGAAGCGTACAGAGCTGCAGAGAGTACGAGTTAGAAACGGGAAGCAAATTGCGTGAGGGGGGGGGGGGGGAGGGCGGGTCTTGATTGAGCAATCTGAAGCCATCGCTCAGCCTCAGGAGGCAGGTTGATGTTATTGAATTTAACTTGAGAGGGCAAAAGAGAAAATATTTGGCGATCGATGCCGAACCTACCTCGCGCGCGGCAGCGCGCGAAGCGAAAATTCCAGCGGCGAGCAGTCCGGCGTGGCCTCTCGGGCCATAACACCGTGGACCCGGGACGGCCCTCCCATAGCAGCCCATAACATGTTATGGGCTGCTATGCCCAGAGAGCCATAACACCATAACAATAACTGTGAGTGGGGACAACCTTCCCTCTCCGGGATGAGATGCGCACTGCTGTCCCTAGAGGGGGGTCGGGTGGTGAGGGCATTGATTAGATCCTCGTGTTATTCGCGGTCGCCCACGGACGATCGCCGGAGTGGGCCGAAGGACAGAGGCTTGCTTGTGTGGGGGCGCGCGGGGGCGCCCACTCAGGCTCGGCCTCCGTTGTCTCAGCCTTCAGTTCACCTCTCCTAGCGCCCGGTTTGGTGTGGCGACCTTCATTTCGGGGTCGAAGGTGCTACACACACTTGCCCCCTGGTGTGTTCTGGCACTCGGCGTTCTCCATAGGGGTGTTTTTCTTTTTGGAATTCTTTTTGTTATGATTTCACTAGTACAGCTAGTACATGCCGAACAGGCCGTTTGTCGTTGCAGGCCGTCTATCTCTCCAGGCCTTTTGTCTCCTCTACAGCTACAGGGAGGGAAAAGCCGTACATAAAATTATTCCAGCTCAATATTCCTGCACCACAGGCGTTCAGTCCGGAATGGCGTGCTCACGAGGTGAGACGTGCATCGCGGTAGGCGGACCAGGACGTGCTCACGGCGCGCGAGAGGCGCGTGAGCACGCCGCCCTCTGCCGCGCTGTCCCCGTCCTTCTGGTTGCGAGACGACCACGGCCGCGCCTCGGCCAGCCTCGGCCCAACCACCTGGACCTGGCGGAGGGAGTAGGCCTTCAGCTTGGCCACGGGGCGCACCAGCTGCAGCTGCACGTAGCGCAGCTTGCGCGTCTCGGGCAGCACCTGTTCACAGCTGCAGGGGTGGAGAGGCGCTGTTCACACCTGCAGCTCGCGTGTCTCGGGCAGCACCGTGTACGAGCACGTCACACCGTCGATGTGCAGGTCTGCCGAGCGAGGCACGTGCGGCGCATGCGCCGTCGGCCCGCCCGCGCCTCCCGCGCCCCACCCTGACCCGGCAGCGGCAGCGCCGGCGCCGGGAGCGCGCGGTGTGGGCGGCCCCGCCCGCGGCGTCGCCGGCGCGTCGAAGGATGCGATCACCAGAGGCTCGTGCAGCCGCCAGTGGCCCGGCATCTGGCCCGGCTCCGCGTGCACCACCTCGGGCGGAGCCGGGTCGAAGGTGGCGTGCGTCGCGCCGAGGAGCGACCACTGCGCGGGCATGCGATGCACGTGCTCCCCGCCCCACAGCGTCGAGATCGCCTCGACCGGCCGCTCGCAGCCGAGGTCGATGGTGACGGTGACGCCAAAGGGACTGCCCGGCCCGCCCGGCGCCCGCCCCGACCGCCAATAGGTGCCCTCGTCGCTGTCGGTGATGAAGGCGGCGCGGTGCTGCACCGGCGGGCCGCGCCGGCTCCTCGCACCCTGCTCGAGCCTCTCGATGGTGCGGTAGGCGAGGATGACGGCGCGGATGGCGCGGAAGGCGCGCATGATGACTGGCGCCTGCTTGGTCGCCTGCGAGCCGCCCCCAAAGGCGACGTACGCGTTGGCGGCGACGGAGAGGAGGACGAGGGCGAGGTCGAAGATGTTCCAGCGGTCCGAGAAGAAGCTCGGTCCCTCGGCGATCAGCCGCAGCGCGATGTCGACCGTGAAGAGCACCAGCACCGCCAGCGAGATCGCCTCGTGCACCGGCGTGCACCAAGCAGGCAGGACCTCCGCCACGATGAGGAGCATCGCAATCGTGTCGAGCATCGCGCCGCCGCACACGCCGAGCTGCCACGGCAGCGAGTACGCGACGTCGGTCACGCGCGAGCGGGACGCCTCGAGCCGCGGCGGCGCCTCGCTGCTCGAGGCGTGCACGCGCACGCCGGCCCGCTCGGAAAAGGGGCGCGCGTCGCAGAGCGGCGCCTATGGGGAGGCTGCGAGAAGGCTCGCCGGCGGCTGCACGAGCCCGGCTACGCGAGGCGCGCGGTCGCAGAGCGCGGCGCCTGCGCCCAATCCTCGTGCCACTCGGTGCGCGCTCCGAAAGTGCGCCAGCGCATCACGCAGCCGGAGGAGGAACCGCGGCCGCGGTAGACGAGCGGCGCCACGGACGCGGGCATGCGCGTCATCACCACCACCACCGCGTGCGCCGAGCCCGCCGGGCCGCGCGCGGCGGCGCTGACGACGAAGCCGCTCCGCAGCAGCGCCTGAATCTCTCCCGCGGGCCACGCCGGCCCGGCCAGCACCCGCTGCGACACGGGCACGTCTGCGGCGGCGCGGGCGATGGCGGAGACGGTCCACTCTCCGGAGACGTACGACACCGTCTCGACGAGGGGCGGCCCGCCGGCGGAGCCGTCGACCTGCGCCAGCTGCGCGATCCACGCCTCGATCCGGTCCCAGTGCGAGTCGATGCGCACGTGCTGCCGCGCCCAGTGGTGCACCCGGCGAGACGAGACGAGGAGGCGCACGTTGAAGGCGCCCGCGGTGCCGCCCGAAGCCACCAGCTGCAGCCCGTCCGCGAGCCGTCGCTGCACGACGCCGCCGACCGAGGCGCGCAGCGCCCAATCCACCTCGCGCCGCGCCGCAGTGAGCCGGCCGTTGACGAAGCGTGGTACGCCGCCGGAGCGCAGCACCGCCACCCAGCGGGTCCACGGGCCCTCGTGGTCGGCGTCCGGCTCGCACAGCTCCGCCGCAACGCAGACGCACTCCCAGACCTGCGAGTTTCGAGCTTCGTTACTGGACTATTCCCCTACCTGCGGGTTATCATTACTGGACAATTCCTATCCACTACTGAGTAGTAACTATACTCGTTCACTCCCAGAACCTGCGGGTCGGCGCCGCCGTTGCGCGAGGCTCCTCCGAGCTCGAGGCAGTCCTCGAGCAGCTTCGACATCTCGAGCCGCGTGCTCGCCTCGAGCAGCCGCCACAGCAGGGTGCCTATCTCGGACACACCTCCGCTGCATCTCGGCTCGGGTATCGGCGGCATCTCGGCGATCCCGCGGCAGCCGCACCGTACTCGCCGTGCTCACGCGTGTACCCTACCACCCACTCGTCCGCCGCCGGCACCCTCAGGTCGCCGCGCTGGGGCGGCTCCTCGTCGCCACTCTCCGGGTCCTCACCGACGGCCTCGCCGCCGCCGCCGCCGAGATACTCGGAGATCTCCCTGCGCATCCTCTTCTCCATAGCGCCGTCGCCCGACATCGCGGCACCGATCAGCTGGGCCGCCACGCCGTCGCCCTGCGCCTCGTTCACCGCGGAGCTCGCCAGCTCGCGGCCGCGCGCGCGCAGACTGACCGCGTAGGCGGCGGCGGGCGGCAGCGCGTGGAAGACGACCCGCGCCGCCGTCGGCTCCTCGCCCGGCCAGGGCGGCGCGGGGTGGACAGAGAGCTCGCGCGAGTGGGTGTGCTCCCACTCGTAGACTGGCACCGTGCCGAGCTCGGGCTGCGCCTCGGTCCACGCGTAGAACTGCAGCTGGCGCAGCTCCTCCCCCCGCCGCGCCGGGCCGGCGTGCAGCGTCACCTGCCTCCGGCCGCGGTCCCAAAAGTCGCAGACCGCGGCGGTGCCGGGCGGCGCCGCGCCCGAGGCGGTGATCTTGCCGCCGGTGAGGGCGACGAACTGGACGCCGAGGCAGACCTCGCCGTCCCGCGGCGCGCCCGCGTGGATGGTTCGCTGTCCGAGCTCCTTATGGGACATGACAGGGAAGTGTCGTGGACATGTCCAGGACAGGTCTGCTGCAGGTGCGCTGTCCGAGCTCCTTGTTCCACCAGTCGTAGACGGTCACGCGCGAGCCAGCGGTCGGCCGCGAGAGCGGCGGCAGCAGCAGCGTCGGCATGCCCGTGTACGTGTACCTCTCGCCGTCCTCCTCGGCCAACTGTGCCGAGGGCCCGAGCGGGCCGTCCCGCTCGGACATGCGCAAGTGCTGCTCGAGCCACGCGCGCGCCTCCGTCCACGAGCCAAAGGCGCGCAGCGTCGACGCGCCGCCGATGCGAGCGACGCGCGTCCAGCTCGCCTCCGGCAGAGGCTCGCTCGGCGCGGCGCCGGGCGCGGCGCCGTGCGAGGCTGACGGCGCGCCGGGCCACGCGGAGCCGAGGCCGGCGGCTTGCGGCAGCGGCGAGGCTTGCCGGTGGTCGGGCGAGGCGGAGTCTGGCGCGCCGGACGGCATGAGCCCGGCAGTCGAGGTCGCGTCGCCGTCGCCGCCCGACCGGCGGAGAAGGCCGCGGCCACGAGAGGGGCGGGCGGCGGGGGCGGGGGCGGGCGGCGAAGCCTCCTCCTCGCCGTCCGAGGAGGAGGACAAATCGGTCGTCGAGGGCGACGAGGCGGCGTATGCGGGGGAGCCCCCGCCGCCGCCCGCCGGGGGCAGCAGCGCCGGGGAGAAGGGGCCGAGCGCGAGCGAGGTGCGCTCGCCCAAGCTGTTGCCGAGGGAGGCGCCGGCGGAGGAGTTCGCGCGGCGGAGTGGGCCCTTGCCGCTCTTGCCCTTGCCCCAGCCGGGCAGGCGGGCGAGGCGGCGCCGCTGGCCCTCCTCCTCGGCCGACTTGAGCGCGCGCGTGGGGCGGCAGCGGTGCCGCCCGACGGGCGTCCCGGGCTCGGGGATGGCGCAGGTGGCGAAGCAGTTCGGGCAGGTGGCGAAGGCGGGCAGCCTCTGCGGGTTTGCCCACGTCGCGACGGGCCGCAGCAGCAGCAGCTCGTGCACCTCGAGGACGGGCGGGTCGAGGACGGGCGGGAAGGGGTCGTACGGGTCGAGCAGCCCTCGCGCTCGCCCCACCTGGTGCGAGGTGGACTCGGCGAGGTCCGACTCGTACTCGCGCATCTTTGCGCCGCCGCGCACCGCGAGGACCCACGCCCAGAAGCCGCGGTCGATCGAGAGCCAGAGGACAAAGGTGAAGAGCTGGATGGCGAAGGTGAGGTTGGCCGCACGCGTCGGGCGGTACAGGATGTAGGTGGCGGCGAGCTTTCCGAGGAGGGCGAGGGGGAGGAAGCCGTACGCCGCGTGGAAGAGCTTGTCGTCGTACGCGGGCGTGCGCGTGTAGAACTTGACGAAGTAGAGCCGCTCGGTGACGTAGCGCAGCGCCAGGTACACGGAGCACATCGGCAGCGCGAGCGGGAGCGCCGATGAGAACATGGTCGCGAGCAGGACGAGGAAGAGGATCTGCGCCATGTTGAGCGCGTAGTAGAACTCGTAGCCCTCGAAGCAGGTGTTCATGTCGCGCTGCGTCCTTTGGAAGCGCGCGAGGAGGCGGCTCTTGACGAAGGTCATCGCGGGCACGAGGGACCAGAGCATCAGGATCTTGGTCGTGACGTATGAGAAGAGCAGCGCGTAGATCTGCTTGCCCGAGCGGAGGTAGAAGCCGAGCTTGGCCAGGCCGGACTTCTCCATGTAGAGCAGCGTGCACAGCGTGAAGAAGAAGGTCATGAACACGTTGTACCGCATGAAGGAGCGCTGCTTGGCCGAGTAGGTCAGCGCGCACGAGAAGTCGGCCAGCCACGGCGTGAGGTAGTAGAGGCCCTGGCCGAGCACGAGCACGATGATCGAGATGGCGAAGGTGCGGTACGTGGTCAGCCGAGCCGCCGACAGCAACGGCGCCGTCTCGAGCTGCGCCGTCTCGGAGTCGGTGCGGCAGTCGAGGTAGGCGCGCGTACAGAGAACGCAGTTCGGGTCGTTGCACCCCTCGATCACGTACGCGTTGACGAGGCCGTCCTCGTCCTCCCACCCACTCGCCCCACTGCCCATCACGTTCACTCCCGCGCCGCCGCCGCCGCCGCCGCCGCCGCCGCCGCCGAAGCTGCCGAAGCTGGAGAAGGCCTCGGTGAAGGCCGCCGAGACCTCCGAGAGCCCCTCCTGCGCCGCCTCGGCCGCGGCTGCCGCCGCGGACATGCGCGTCGCGTTCGACTTTGCGAGGACCGAGGAGCCCGCCGAGGGGCACATGCGGGTCGGCCGGAGCAGGTAGGGCGGCGGCGCGTCGGGGCTGTAGTCGGAGGAGAAGGAGCAGAAGGCCTCCTCGCACTCGGAAGGGTGCTCCCTGCAGTCGACGGGCCCGCCGCCGATCGGCACGAGGTAGCCTCCCTGCGGGCCGCGCTGCCGCAGGAAGTCGCACTTTGGGTAAAACGTGCCGTTGGCGTCGGAGACGTTGAAGGCGCCCGTCTGGCCGGTCGGCGCGGGCGCGACCTCCCAGAAGGCCCACCAGGCGCTCGTCCTCGGCTTCGTCACCTCGACCAGCTCCTGCTCCAGGTCGTCCGCGAGCAGCCTCCCCGGGCCCTCCTCGGACGTCCACTCCCCGCGCCCCTCCTCCGCCTCGGACTGCCCCGCCGCCTCCAGCAAGCCGCGCTTGCCGCGAGGGCGGCTGCCGCGCTTGCCGCTCTGCGAGGGGTACCAGTTCGCAACCACGCGTGCGTCGGGCACGTCGAGCCAGCGCGGCGCGGGAGAGAGGTCGAACATCGCGTCCCGCTCGGCGGGCGGCGCAGACTGGGCGTTCGGGGCGCACGAGGCGTTGACGAGGATCGAGTGCAGGATGCAGCTCGGGTCGCCGCCACACCCCTTTCCAAAGTTGGACTCGTGCCTCTTCCCGTCCGCCCCGACGGTCATGTTTGGCTCGGTGCCGTCGCGCCGCAGGCCGCAGCCCGAGGGGCCGGAGCCGAACGTCTCGCTCCAGTAGCTGTCGAGGTAGTGCACGTCGAGGCAGGGCTGGAACGTGTGTGTGAAGGACGGCGCCGGCGCAGGCAGCCCCCAGATGGTCGTGAGCCGGACGGCGAGGCTCATGGCGAGCAGCACGGCGGCGGACATGATAAGCCACGACACGGCGACGCGCCCCGCCCGCTCGGTGCCCGTGCGCGCGAGCGACGGCCAGATGAGGTCCGACGGCTCGGCGGCGGTGCGCACCGACAGCGTGCAGCGCAGGGTGCGGCGCGGCGAGGATGGGTCGGGGTACTCGAGCTGCGGCGCGGTGCCGACGAAAGCCGCGAGCGGCCACGCGTTGCGGAGCCAGAGGAGCGGCGCGGAGGGCTTCAGCTCAGTCTTCACCTTCTCCATCGCCCCCACCGAGTTGAACGAGACGAGGACCGCGCGCACCTCGCCCGCCGAGGTGCCCGCCGACTTCGCGGCGCGCTCGAGCTCCTCGCGCAGCCCCTCGACGTGCCTACGGACGGCCCGTCGCAGCCTCCTCTCGGCGGGCCTCGGCGTGCGCACTCCCTGGCGCGGCTGCGGAGACGCGCGTGTGGAGGGCGAGATCTCGGCTAGATCTCGGCTAGATCTCGGCTAGATCTCGCTTGCGGAGGGCGGCCACGTGCGAGCGGTGCGCCTCGCTCTCGCGGGCCGAGCGAGGTGAGATGGGAGTGGTGTCGCCCTCCGGTCTGAAGGCGGTCGAGAGGCGCTGCGAGAAGCGCCCGAGCGGCGAGGGCGGCGCGGGGTCGCCGGGCTGCGGCGGCGCCGTCCCAACCTTTGGCCCCTTGCCGCTCTTGGAGAATGCCGCGGCGGCGGTCTCTGCACTGAGCGCGCGGCCGGCGGGGCGGACGAGCGCGCGCAGCCGCTTGCGCGCGTCGAGCAGCTCGTTGGTCGTGTCGAGCCACGCGGCGCTCCCGCGCACAAACACGAGCTCCGACACGGTGTCGTCGAGCGGCGGCGGCAGCACGGTCGTCTCGGTGGCGAGCTGGGTCAGGTCGAGCCTACGGCAGCGCAGCCGCTCTCACAGACCACCGAACGAGGCGCGGCTCGGCCGAGAGCGGCGCTGTGTCGGGTGCCCGAGCCAGCCCAGCGACAGCCACCAGCGCAGCGACCCCGCGGCGGGGGGCGGCGGCTTTGGCGCGGGCGTCCGCGCGCACACTCTCCGGAAGAAGTCGCTGCACACAGGTGGAGGGTGTGTGAAGGCGCGCTCTTCACCGCGAGGCGTGGAGTGGCGCCGGTGCTGTACGACCACCTGTACACGCGGCCCGCCTCGTGGTCGTCGGTGCCGAGGGCGGCCTCGCCGCGCGCGCCGAGGTGGCGAGGCACGCCCGTGAGCAGGAGGGTGTAGTCGGCGGGCGTGATGGTGCCCTCGTCGACGTCGCGCGCGAGGGCGGTCGCCTGCAGCTCGAGCTGAGATCAGCCGAGATCAGCCGAGATTGCCCGAGATGACGCGAGAGCGGTCGCCTGCCGCTTGAGCTGCAGGAAGACGACCATCAGCAGGCAGGAGAAGAGGAGGTCGAGGATGCCCGAGGGCCACACCTGAGTCGCGCACGGGGCGATCGAGTGCTCCGCTCCTCCGAGGACACTGGAGGGCGCCAGAGACTGCTCACACCTCGACGTCGAACGGCTTGCGGTTGCCGAGCGAGAACTTGACGTCCACAGAAGCGAAGCCGATCGAGGAGAGCTCGCCGCCGCGCCAGTTCGCGGCGACGTGCGGCACGGCGATGACGGCGGCGAGGGCGAACCCGCGGGCGAGGTAGGAGAGGAGCTTGAGGTAGAGGGTGACGCCGACGCCGAGCTGGTACTTGAGGCCTGTTCACAGCTGCAGGTGTGAAGAGACGCTGTTCACAGCGAGGACGCCGAGCGGGTACTTGAGGCCGAGGGGCGGCGGCGCGTCCAGCGGAGCCCACCACTGGTACGGCTCCCCCGCCGGGTCGAGGAGCCGCGCCTACGCGAAGGCTCCGAGAATGCAGGGGAGGCGCCACTGGCACGGGCCGCCCGCTGGGTCGAGCAGCCGCGCCGCCGCGCCGTGCAGCCGCGCCCGCGCGAGGTGGGCGGCGAGACGGCGAGGCCGAACCACAATGTCGTACTCCTCCGCCGCCGTCTTCGGCCCTCGGCCACGCATGCGGCCGCGGCTCGCGCTGACGGTAGTGCCGTCCCCCGCGGTGTGCGTCTCGTCCGACGCCTTCAGCTCCGCCGCCTCGGCCGCCTCCACCGCCGCCCTCTCCCACCCGTCGTCGCCGGCCGCGCCGCCACCGCCGAAGATGCGGCGCGCCGCGGCGGCCGGGAGGGAAACGACGGCGGAGAAGAGGGAGGAGAGGCCGAGGCGGAGCGTCGCGGCCTCGTTGTCGATCGTGCCTCCGCGCTGCGGCTCCGGCGCGGTGCGCCAGACAGACTCCGCAACGCCTAGAGGTGGGCCGCCCCTCGTCCTCTCGCGGCGGCGCCGGACGCGTCTCTCTGCGCGGCGGCTCGGCGGCGCCGGAGGCGGCGGCGGCGCCGTCGGCGCCGAAGAGCTCCGACTCGCGGTCGAGGCCTGTGCACAGCGATCCGGCGAGATCAAGCGGCCACGAGAGGGCACGAGGGGAGATAGCACGAGACTGGGCGGTGGCCGAAGGGCTGCGGCCCGTCGCCAAAGCTGCGGCGGCTAGCCGCCTCGGCCCGTGCGGAAGGCTCGCCGTCGCGAGAGGCGCGGGAGAGGCGCTGGCGGAGCGACGAGCCTACTGGCGGACTCGCCTCTCTGTGTGGCGGCGGCCCCCCCGCGATCGCGGATGGCGAGGCGAATCTCGCGTGATCTCGCGTGATCTCGGGTGATCTCGGGTGGCCTCGGTTGATCTCGGGTGGCCTCGCACCCTTGTCGGACGGAGAAGCGGCGGTCGCTGCGATCGGCGAGGCGGGCACGCGCGGCGTCGAGGCGTCGAGGCGGCGGGAGGCGTGCCCGGAGGGAGACGAGGGGCCGTCTGAGCCAACGGCGCTGCTCGCGGCCATCGAAGCCGAGAGTAGCTCGCAGCTCGCATTGAGCAACGCCGCCAGCCTCGCGCCCTCCATCTCGTCGGTCCGGCCGCGCGCCGAGCGGAAGGGCAGCCGCTCGGCGAGGGCGACCTGCCCCGGCTCGGGCATCTCCTCCACGACGACGAACCTGCAGGACGGCTCCGAGAAGGCTCAGAGAGCCGGCCGCTGCTAGAGGGCGGCGAGCCGCTGCTGGACGAGGAACCACTGCGGGTCGATCCTGAAGCGGACCTGCGCCGGGGGGGGGGGGGGGGGGGCTCT